ACGCACACGATCATGATTGGCTCCCGCAGTCCTGTCACGAGCTTAAAGGAGGAGGAAAAGGAGGGAGGACGATAGGAGACTGACTTGTGAAAGGACGCTCGAAAGTTTTGACGGGGCATGCTGCGGCAGTTGTAAGATAATCGGAGGACGATCGATTTTTTGTTTTTGGAGATGGCAGTTCAGCTGCGAGGAGGGGGTGTCGAGGTGGGAAGGAGGGGGGTTGGGGGTGAAGTGAGGAGTTTGACAAGGAAACTGAGGTCGGATGAAGCAGTAGTCACCTGCAGGAATTCACCGCCTGCCCTCCCGCCTCTGGCTTCCTGAAGTCGGCTTATAACGGTAGTTTATCCCATCTGCCTGTTGCTCAACAGCTGGGACTTCAAGGGACGGAAAAGGGAGAGAGAGGCCACGGGCTGTGGCAGTTGCTTTCGTCGTAGAGCTTGTTGGCAGGATCGGTCGGAAGAGAACGGCGGGCAGAGATCGGCTTTTCTTGACATACGACTGCGGCAAAGGTCAGTCGCTCGTTGATGTTCTCGTCGTTGTTTTCATTATTTTTGAAATCTTTTTATTTGAAAAATGTCTTTAAAGCAGAGCTGTCAGTTGTTGTCACTCATCGCCCGTGCATAGACGGCTCCAAATGCTTACCCTCCCCCCCCGCCACCTCTCCTTTCCTGGAACTTGCTCCGTGCTTGTGGGTAGCAGCATGTAGGGGATATTTTGCGCTTGCAGGGGTGGCGCGGGTGGTTGGTGTGCGGGGATGAGATGTTCAACATCCCCGTGCTCTGCTGCTGAGCGAGCGTAGTGTGTTCACTTTGTTGCGCAGGTTCATCTGTTTTTTTTTCATTTTTTTGTTTTCAATTGCCTTATTTGTTTGTTGACCTTGCAATTTGTGACCCGATCCTCAGCGAAGACCTACCTACGCCGAAAACGTCCCTAGACGTTTACTCGACCTTACTGTGGCCCGGATCTTGCAAAGCTTTTTCCTGTTTTATAGCGTCTTTTATAATTGGGTTTACAGGACGAAAGATTGAAACCTTTCTCTTCTTGTTGGCCTTCCCGGAGTTCACAATGGGCGGCGCAGCTCGCACGTCCTTCATGCTCCTCTTCGTTTCCTGAACGTGATCCGTGACCCGGTCCGAGCGTGTCTCAAACGGAGAGAGAGAGAGAGAGAGAGAGAGAGAGAGAGAGAGAGAGAGAGAGAGAGAGAGAGAGAGAGAGAGAGAGAGAGAGAGAGAGA